ATGGAATATAAAAGAAATATTAGTGATGAAAATAAAGATAATTTATGGAAGGTAATATAAATCATTGAACTTAAATAAGAAATTAATTAAATCTAAATTATAAATAATACTATGTTGATTGTTTCCTAAAATAAGTCTGGTTTATTATCTAATTTTGAATAAAATCTAAATTAAATTCTAGAATATTGATTAAGGGAAAATGGTTGTAGAATAAGTATTAAATTATTAAGATCTTATTTCAACTTTAAATTTGAATATTCAAATCATGAGTTCAGATGGCAAATATATAATCATATTGACATTTAATCATCTTTGATTCATATTTTGTAATTAAAACAAAATTATTGAGATAAACAGTATAAAAAATAGAATTGATATATTATATAAAGAATGTAAAATAAGAATAAATTTTGAAAACTTCTGCTAAAATTATGGTCTTTGAGTTAAATATTAATTATAAATAAAGTAATTTACTTTAGTATTTGATTTGAATAGAATTATTTGACGAAATTAAAATTTTTATCAATGGATTATTTTTAACATATAGGTTTACTTAACAAATTTGAATTAATATATCGATCAAATCATAAATACAGATCTAGATTTCTATAAATTTTCATATTTCATTTAAATTATAACAATTATTAAATAGATTTTATATAATTATTATTAAATAATTCATTTCATTTTTTCATGTCTAAATTTTTTACTTCTACAAATTTTTATAATGGATTTTCTGAATAACTCTCTCTATTTATTTTCTCTTAAGTTTATATTTTCTTTAAATGGATATAATAGGCTTTTTATCCTTATTATAGAATTTCAATAATTAAGGTAGAGCCCATTAAAAAACAAAACAAAGATATATGCAACCATCCATAGAGCAAATATTATTCATCATTTAATTCTAAGGAATAAATTAAAAATGATCCTGTGTTGATTAAAAGTATAATTTATCTACATAGTAATTTTGCTTATTCAAAATTAGATCATATAGGTGTATAGAGAATCAAGTAGATTTAATAAAATAAAGACTACATTGAAAGTAAAACTGATTATGCTTCAGGATACCTTATGAATTCAGTTATAATTGTATTATAGAATACAGTTCTATAAATTTGAAATGGTTTGTAATTAGCTGCCAAAATTCAGTTTTAGTATCTTAAAAGAAATACTTCCATTTTTGTTTATCTTTAATTTTAGATGTTGTGATGGAAAGCAATTTAAGAAGGATTTGAACTAAAAATATTAAGCTCCCTAATGCAGAAATACGATTAATTATTTCAAAAAGAGAATCAAAGTTGTAAATTGGAAATT